ATAATAATAATAATAATAATAACATGGCTCTTATATGTTTCTAGTAACCACCTTAAAAATTCTTGAGAGACCCATATATCCTTGTTTTGTCTACTGCTTCACCTCCTACTCACTCCTCAACTCACTGTAATGTGAATATCACGTATATACCCTCATCACCACCACCACCAAAACTGGCTAATGTTCACCATGCTGCTAAATCCAGTGAGCACTTTCCATCCCTCAGTTTAGTTGTCATCTTAGCACACACACAACTGTCCACTCACCTGGGCATCTGGGAGACAAACTTCTTTGTTGAGATATTCCTTTCTCTCCCTCTCTCCCTCTCTATCTCACATGTGTGCATGCACATGCACAGTGCCTCTTTTAATCATTCTCTTCTAATTTCCTCTGGATGCTCCTCTACTGCCCAACATTCTCTTGGGTCCGTCCTAGTCTCTCTTCTCAGATCACTAAAAACTCTCTCTCTCGAGAATCTCTTCTACCTCCATATCGTCAGGTATCTTTTATATCACATTGATACCAATTTTGTTCCCCTATTCCAGGACCCAGATATCAAACTACCTACTTGGCATCTCTATTTAGATGTCTCGTATCTATATCTCAAAATTGAACTGATGACTTTATCTCATCAAACTTTTTTCCCTGTCAATGTTCCTCATCTCAGTTAAGGTACCATTATACATCTAGTTGCTTGTTCCACTCTCTTAAATCCCATAAATCTGATTAATCACTGAGTTCTATAAGCTCTGCCTCCTAAAAAAATTCTCACGTCTAGTCGCTTCATCTTCATGGTCACCTTTCAAATCAAGGTATCTTCTCTTTCCGTCACACAAATCTGATACCCTCCTACAGGCCTTCACACATTTACCATGATTGCTTCCAAGTCATTCTCTACCCTGCTGCTGGGTAATCATTTTAAAACCCAACAAACATCATTTCCATGTATAAAACCCTTCAAGAGCTTCCAATTTAAATTAGGTTAAAAGTAAGTATCTTTACTCCAATTTCCAAGATTCTTCACAGTCTTTTAGAGTAGACAATAACAAGTGCTGGTGAGGATATAACACAATTGGAACTCTCTTACAATGCTCGTGAAAATACAAAGTGATACAGCTATTTTGGAAAATGGGGAGTTTCTTATAAAAGGAAACATGCATGCAACAAGTAATTACCCTCTTAGGTAATTGCTCAAGAGAAATGAAAACCTGTTTTAATACAAAAACCCATAGGTCATGTTCACAGTGGCTTTATTTATAATTGCCAAAAATTAGGAAAATCTCAAACATCCTTCAACTGACTAAATTAACTGTGGTACATTTATGCAATGGAGTAATAATTGACAAAAAAAAAAGAAACTACTGATAGATGTAACAACATGACTGAATCTCAAATGCATTACATTAAGTCATGGGTTGGCAAATCATAGTTTTCCACCCAAATTTGGATGCCACTTATTTTAATAAAGTTTTATTCAAACATGACCACAACATAGCCCATGGCTGCAACAACAGAATGAGCAGTTCCAACAGAGACTCTATGGCCTGAAAGTCTAAAACATTTACTACTTGGCCCTTTACAGAAAAGTTTGCCAATCCCTGTGCCAAGTGTAGGAAGCTACACTCAGAAGTCTACATATGGCATGATTCGGTTTCTATGATGTTCTGTAAAAGGAGATGCACAGGGTCAGAAAACAGATCAGTGATTGTCTGGGTCTGGGGTGGGGGAAGGACAGACTGACCACAAAGAGTACAGGAGAACTTTTGAGGATGAAAGAAATGTTCTATATCTTGGTCATAGTGGTGGTTCCACAACTGTGTGTACTTGTCAAAACTCACAGAACTGCATACTATAACGAGTGAATTTTACTGCATGCAAATTACACCCCAGATTATACATCAATAAATTTTACTTAAGTAAAGATATAGATAGCCTTATGTGCAAGGCATTATTATAAAAGTTTTACTTTTTCTACTCATTCAATCTTCACAATAGCTCCATGAGTTAGGTACCATTATGATCTCATTTTACAGAGTGACTAAGACAAAGAGAAGTTAAATAACTGGCCCTGATTATACCACTGATATATGGTAGAGCTGGGAACTGAACCTATGCACCCTGGCAATAAACACTGAGTTTTACATTGCTATACCATGCTGACTCTACATGTAATTTGAGAAAAAAAAAGAAAGAAACAGACTAAATAGTTATAATGAGATGAGATATCACCAGTTGTCAAAGGCAGAAAGTTTTTTTTTGTTGTTTTTTTGGTCTTGTTGTGAAGGTTTTGCTGAACAGTCCTTCCAAAACAAAATTTTTTTAAAAATAAGGCACTATTGAGGGTAATTTATTTAATTTCTGACACTACATTTAAAATAACATTTTATTTTTGTTTATTTTTTTCATAAAAGCTGGAAAGTGTTGCAACTGAGAAGCTAAACACCAAGTTTATTTTAGAGGCAGTAAACACAGCCTAAGGCCCTACTTCTAATTATGACAAGAGAAAGACTCATTTTGGCTTCATATGGCTTTGAGTCACAAAAACACATCTGCACCCTACCTTCTCTAGAATATGTTGATTGAGGGGAAATAAAAGCAGCAGGCATAAAATAGTAG